CTTGGCTGCTCCTCGTGTCTTACAGGGGCAGAGAGATCCCAACCCTCATTAGGCAGCCCTGGAGGTTTGCCCTGAGTGTGGATCTGAGCTGTGGCTTCCTCCCAGCTGCTCCTGGAGCCGAAGCCTGCAAAGGGCCTGGTAGGAAGCAGCTGTTTAAAACTCTTTAAAAGCTTTCAAACAAACTCACCCCAGAGAGCTCGTCCCCAGCTTGCTGTCGGTGCCTGTGCTGGTCCCTCCTCTCTCTGCAGAAGGACTTTGCTCACAGCCTTTCATCTGCAACAGGGTACCAGAGACTTGCTTGTCCAAGTCTCTCTTCAGACAAATTGCTCCAGGGAAGAGACCACGAACAGTTAAACAAGATAATCATTAGTGGAAGCATCTGTCTCATCATTCTGGAAAAGTATTTAAAACAAAGGTCTTGAGGGAGATTTGTCTGTGTTCTCCCAACTGTCTTCACTTCTGAGCTGCACCAGTAGGTACACATTAAATTTATCTGCATTCTGTGGATTAATACAGCAGAATAACTGTGACTTTGAACCTCCCCACAGGCTTGAAGATGCATGTGAGGAGAGAGTCTGACTTATATCTCAATAAAGATAGGTAAAAAAAGAGCCCAAAATTGAGATCAGAAGTGAAAACACAATTGCAGCTAATCTGTATTCATTCTTTCTGAGCAGGAATCCCAAAACTTTGACTTTTTTGTCAAAGAAATGCTGGTACAGAAAAAAAAAGTGTAATTAATTGAAATTCCTTGCCTCAGTTATCATTTATTTATTTGATATTGAAACAATCACTAAAGAGCTCTACAAGGTTGATGTTAGAGAGCTGCCTGACTGTATTCCTAAATCTGAGTCAAGTCACAATAATTTCTAATCAATAATGCCACAATGTTATAGCAGGACTGTAATAAAGACTCAGTCAAGAATTTGGCCAATAGATTTTCACTGCAGTAAATTGTTTAAAGCTATCTAGCTACCTAAAGACACCTTTGAAAATGTAGCTCTTTCATTTTGGCATTCTACCAAAAACTCAGGCACATAGATTCCTCTTGGAGATACCTCTGTCAGAAGGTCAGTAAATTCAGTTTATTTTATAATAAAGAACATTTAGACAAGCTTTGTATTATTTTTTAGTTATGGAGTGACAGTTTAGGGGAGACTTTCTTTAAAAGTTTTCCAGGGAAGGATAGGACTTGTGGTTAGCATTGTCAGTATAATTCTAATACACTTCAGAAATGCATATGTTAATTTTATAACTTCATTTTACATTAGTTTTATGCAGCTGTTGTGAAACCTCAACAGCGTCAACATAACAGATGTTTTTAGGTACCCCCTTTTCAAAGTTGAATTTGGATTCATAAAAGTAAAAAGGAGCTTTCATAATGTTGATGTTAATGGATTATTTTAATTAGAAATTCAGCAGGATTGGTTTACTTTAAAATACACCAAATCAGTTACAATAAAGATTTCCACCAGCTCTTTGTTCTTCACACCACAGAAGGAGGATCTATTTCGGATCCTTCCTTCAGTGCCATTATGTCTTCATAATTAAATCTCTCACTGGACAAATACTTGTGCTTATTTTACTGCATCATTAAAATTCTCACCCTCCTTAGCATGCTTCAGTGTTTGGCTTTTGGTTTGTTTGGTTGTTGGGTTTTTTTGTTTGTTTGTTTGTTTTTTAATTTTTGTTTCTGTTTCTTCTTCTGTGAATTTTGTTGCTCTGTTGTCATCCCTCTTCCCTTTGGTAAATTTTTATTTTCCAGGGGCTCATGTTGTGTTCAGAGCGTTCACTTTCCTCATATTTTGTGTTGCAGCTGCAGGGAATAACCTTAAGGGACAGGCCTCTGAGATTTCTGTCCTTTCCTCATGTTAATGTTAAGTTCTTCTGGGAAAGGAATGGGCTTGTGTTGGTTTTACTTCTGGTTTCCTCCTGAGTGCAGGTGACCCACGGTAAGAGAGCACTGAGCTGTTCCTGCAGCACTCAGGGATGAGACTGAACAAACTGATCCTCTGCCCTTCACTGTGGTTTGCACTATCCCACTCTTTATTGAATTAAATGTGTTAATAACAGACTTATGTAGCAGCTAAGAAGGAGTTGGCTGTCATTTATCAATTAATTACCCATGAAAACTGGCATTACATGGTAGCAGTAATGGTACCCATGGTGTCAGGCATATGCTACATAAAAATGCAGTCACCTTGAAATAATGTGGACAAATCAGCTGGTAACCTACAGAATACTATTAATAATGTAGTCCTAAGCCCTGCAGGACTGAAATTTGTCTCTTAGTGGTCTGTGGATAGATTCTGCAGTGTTTTATTTTTTGTTCAAGTTTTGGGTGATCAAATTGGTTGAGCTACCCTTAAATCCAAAGCCAGGAATTTCTCTCTTACCAGATCTTACATGAATTAATTAACTTTAATATTTCTTTGGGTAGGGCAGGGGGTGTGATGGCTTGTGGCAGACAAGTGGTGAAAAACCAAGTTTTAAGCAAAGTTAAAGATTCATTGGCAGAACTTGTATTGACTTCAATACTGATTTCTACAGCAGTAGAATGAGGGGCCTGATATGACACCATTCTCATTGCAATTCTCTTTTAAAACCAGGCTAGTACAAGGTCAGCTGCAGACATTTTATTGCTGGAGGAGAAAAGGGTCTGCACAGCTGCCAGGCTACAAGTGGTATGATGGGCTTTGAGTCGTTTGTGTTGCATTGGACACTGGTACTGCACAAGCTTAGAGAGAGAACAGCACAAACCAGGAGCACATTCCTGGCTGGTTACACTCACCTGGGTTTGCTCCTGGCTCTGGAATGAGAGAGAAAGCTTGGAAAGAAAGCAGCTGTGGCAGACAAGTGTAGAAACCCCGAGGCTGTATAAAATGGTGCTGTGCCTGGCTCTGCTCGTACAGTCCTGTGTATAGAAAGGATTCTTGAGCTCCACACACACTGCTCCAGTGTCATTTCATCTTCTCACAGTTCTGTAAGGCCCCAGCTGTTGGCTCTTTTTGGCAAAGTCATTGACTGAACGAGCTTTTCCTGTTATGCAGACTGGAGCAGATGCTGAGGATGTACAGACCTTGTTGGAGTGTCAGACAGTGAATGCAAAGGATGGCACATCATTGTTTGTGTTGAGGTTGTCAACATCTATTGTCCTTTCTGCTCCTGCAGAGGAAGATGTGGTCACTTGCCAGAAAGTTTACAGTCCACACTTCTGGATGAGGTAGAACACCGGAGTAGCAAATAAGAGCACAAAGAGTCTGAAGTAGTAACAGCAGAGTGGTGACCTAGTACCTGTTCAAATCAAAAGCCATGTGCTCATTGACTGCAATGGTCTTTGGAGTCTAGAAAGATGATGGAGGAAAAAAAACTGATGACATTTCAGGTTTTATGTATCAACTTATCTTTCAGTAGACTTTGAGCAGAAAATACAGGGATTTACTTGGGAAGGAAGTTGTCTTTTGTTTCTGTGCAGTTGTTCATCACGTGTCAGACATGCATAGGTAAAAGGTTTTCATTATCCCCTCTACACACCCCTCCAGTTAAAAACCCCATGAAACAGCAGAAGCTACAATATATTTATAGTTCAAAATATTCCTTTCTCTGGCTTTAACCTTTGGCTTCAAAAGCGAAAAACAATATGCACCACATTGAAAAAAATATGCACAGGCATTCATTTCAGAGTCAGAGCTATTTGGATGCAACTATAAATGCACCAGTTGTGCCAACAACTAAACAATACTTTTATTCTAGCTTTATTGTTGGAGCATTTTACACTTCAAGTATATTATATGCTTCTGATCATACACTGTGCACCATGTACTCTTTGTAATTATATCAGTATGACTAGTTGCTAAGGTTGAAATAGGTAACTGCCACTAGAAATCTGGAAGAGTGAATTAATTAATACACTTCGTTGTGTAAGAGAGCACTGTCAAGGTTCCCATTTTGTGTCAAGATATGCTAAAATGATACCTTTGGAAAAAAAAGATATTCATATTCTTTCAGCTACATTGACAGAGATTCCCTTCAGTTTTATTCTAAATTCATGTATGTGTCTCATGTCAAAATCTGGACTGTAAATGCTGCTACCTCTGTGCAATAGAACAGAGGTTAGCAGCCTCTGGAAGCACATCAGCATGAGGAGAAGTGAGGTCAGAGCAGAGGTAAAGATTGTGCTGTCTGGAATGTGAAATCAGACACTGTTCCCCTTCTTGGAACAAGCTGTAGCAGATCAGTTCTCAGAAGGGAGGTATGTTACATGGAATTCGGGGCACTGGGTAAAAGAAACCTCTCTTGTGAGACTCATTCCCAAACCAGGCACTCTGGTGGTCATTTTGTGTCAGGGCCCAGGAGGGGGCACTGGCAATGTGCTCTGGGCACCCGGTGTTGCTGGAATTGGCTCATTCTCCCTGGAGATGAGGCTTCTGTTGTTAAATCCTCCCCAGCTGATTCAAAGCAGGGACATCAACCCCGAGATGTCAGGAGGGTGACTGCCTTAATTTTCCTGTTGCATCTCCATCTCTGTAAAAGCTTTCAGTTGGACTGGAGCAAGTGAAGGACTGCTTTTTGCTCCAGATACTGCTTTAAGAATACAGGTTTTAAGTCTCTGCTGACTGTGAACATGGTTTATCTGTTTTTCAGACAGCTGGACGAAAGCACAAGCTCCTCTAAAGACAAATGGTGTGTCAGTGGCCAATTGCAGGAAAGATAAAGGATTCCAAAGGCTGTGAATATTGCAGTCAACTATACAGGGCTTATTTAATATCCTTTTATTCCAGCTTCTTTCATCACTTTAGTCTTTGCTAGTCAGAATATAGGTTGTTTGGTTGAATACATTCACAGAAGTATGATACAATAACTTCTGCCTTATTCCAATAGAGAGTGGATTACCTGGATGTCTTGGTTGCCCTTCTATTCTTCTTCTGTTTCTATAAAACAAGACTGCCATCAGTCTTTTCCATTTCCTATTTTGATCATCATCTTCTTGTCTCCTTTAGGCTGCTGTGAACAGGAACTGAAGATAAAGTGTGTGTTTATAGGTAGCATTTTAAAACAGCTGCAATTTCACTGCTGGACCAACCCTCTGATTAGACAAGTGGAAAAGCTATGAAGTATACTCTGTAATAAATGTCAGAGCAAAGAAGAGCAAAGAACTGAAAAACACCCTATTAGAGGCTAGCAAGAGCCAGGAAATAAAAGAAGAACCTGTGTCAAAAAGCAAAAAAAATTCAAGAGCAGAACAGAAGTTCAAGGGTGACAAAGAAAAGGATCACAGCCCTTTTGGTGAGTAAATACTTTTAGACAGGTATTGATCTAGTGGGTGAAAACCAGCGAGTGCTCTGTTGTGAGGCAGCACTTACTGGGGGGCTGCACCCGGACAAGGTTACACGTGGGGAAGAGAAACAAAGCATTTCTCCATGGTTGGAACTAAGTTTGCAAAACTGAGGTAGTTTTTGCCTTTATTTTTAATTTCCGTTACCTGAGTCTAAGAATCAGCAAACTGAAATACTGAAAGATTCTCCTGATGATTCAGAAGAGAAATCACAGGCTCACTGAAGTCAGCAAAAACTTTTGCCATTGATTTAGCTGGGGCCAGGGCTTCACTGTGGGCTTTGCTGTCATGAACAGCATTCTGCTGCTGATGGCAGAACAAAAGATGACAACAGAGAAATATGTTGCAAAAGTTCCTGTCCTCTGCTCTCTTCACTTTTCTTCTGGTTGAAAATGTTATTTATTGTGGCCCAATGCTGGGCTTGGAGCACAGGGTACCTGTTATTTTCTACCAACTGGATGGGTTGACGTGGATTTCTTTACTCTTAGGGTCATTTGGCTAATGGAATAAATTGAATTATGCATAAACATAAATGGGTGAGTTGTCTTGTTTCCTACGAGGAAACAACACACTCAATCTTGTCATTCCCCACCCCCCAACTGTTCAATTATTCCTTACCTGTTGAGAGAAAATTGATTAAGTAGTGAGCATTAAATTTAGCAGTGATGCTACAAGGAGGAGTGCATGGATGTGGAACAGCACTGGCTCTGTGATAAGGTAATTAAACAGAGGGGGTGAGCAACAGAGAGGAATGGCAAGAAATAGGTGGTACCAGCCAGCAAAGCTCACTCTGCTCCTGTTAACTGGTGCAGGACTGGAATAATCTCACAGACCTCAATCAAAATATGCTAATTTTGTCTTGGCATAAATTGAGGCAAAAACTTATTTGGGCATATCCTGCATGCTCTGCCACTCCCTGTTCTAGCAGAACTCCTGCTTGTGTACTGACTCATAACTACAATGGGATGATTGTGACAATCTTTCAGTATTTCAAAAAATACTGAAATACTGAAACAAACCCTCTGAATTCACAGAGGGTTGTATCAGGAGGCCACAGTGTTTTTCCATAGTTCACCAAAGGTAACCAGGTATCTTCCTGATCTCTCAAATGTAGGAGTTAGTGAATTGAATTTCATTCCCAGTACTGGCTTTTTTCAACTGGATGCTTTCAGTAAGTCAGAATCATGGAATGGTTTGGGTTGGAAGGGACTTTAAAGGTCATCTAGTTCCACCTCCCCTGCCATGGTCAGGGAACCAGAGCAGGCTGTGCAGAAGCCCTGGTGCCTCCTGCACCCAGAACTCCCAGACTGCAGAGTCACAGCTGTTGAGCCTTCATTTGTCTGGAGTTACCACTTTTCCTCACCAGGGGTATAACCTCTTGTACTTCACTGTCTGGCACACAGCAGACAGTGCTGAACTGCCCTGTCCCTTGGAGACACTTTAGATTATTCTCTTGTCCTATTTGTGAGGACAACTGAAGACTGAATATTTGATATGCAGGAACCCTTTCCTTTGCCTGTTTTAAGCACTGTCACCATTCATTCAGCAGAATGCAGCTTTTCTATAGGCAAGTGGTGCTGTGTGCCTGAAGAGCTGTAGATGTGGGAGGCTAAATGCAACTTTGTCCCATTCACTGGGTACATCAGTCAGTGTAAAAAAAAAAGGTCCTTTAAGTGGCAGCATCTGCCAAAGGATACCTTCACAGCCCTGTTCCCAGCTGGTGCTGCTGACTCTTACACAAGGGGTGCAGACCATTTCAAGAGCAGTCTGTCTGTGTCTGTGCAGTGAACAGAGACCTTGAAAGCTGTTCTGTTCCTGATACGTTTAATCAGATACAATTTTCTATATCACATGATGAAAAGCAAGTTAGTTTTTATTGGAAGGAAAAGTTTATCTAAATAATAGGTTGGCAAGCTTTTGGGAGCTCACTGCTTGCAGCTAGTTGCTAGAAGACTCCTTTCAAATTACTGAAACTTCTGAATCAGTGTGTCAAGAAACAAACCAAACAAGGCTAGTGTTATTTGGACGATTTTCCAGATCCTAATTCCTCTGCTCCAAAGAAATATATTTGATGCTTCCTTTTCCTGACAAATGCAAATCAAATATTAACTGATTACATTTCAACGTAATCATCATATTTTAGGGAAGGGTTGAGGAGTGGGCAGAAAGGAGTTGTTTGTTTTTACCAGGGCAACCAAGTGCTTTTCTGTGTGTATGTTTAATGAGTGAATCAGACTGCTTTAGCACACAATTGCTTAGATCAATAATTATTCAAGAAACAATACTGCCTTGGGAAAATCTATGGTAATAAGAAAGAAATCTTGATGGGCTGGATAACCTTTTCAGGCAGGTATTTATCTTCAAATGAAGCTATTTTTTGCACAGTTTCTAGTGTTTAGAAAAACGCTTTATTAGATGGTTAAAAAATAATCAGATTGTTAGTGTTTGGAGTGTGGAGCTCAGGGTGGCAGGGAAATAAAGCATTAGTGGATGGTATTCACAGATGCATAGCCAGCAAGACTGTCAGGTTTTAATGTCAAAGTGCCACTATGAGATGAATCTCTGCCTCTGTACTCTAGTGACAACTGTTACCATTACCACTGTGAACAGATAGCAGGTTCTAATTAAAGTTACAAGCCAGGGGGAAGAAGCATTAAGAAAGAAAAGAATAATTCCATGAGTAAATTGCACTTGATTTACTAGTTCACGGAAAAGGTCTAAAAATTAGTATTTGAAATTAGTTTAAATACAGAATCTATCAAACCACGGAACAATAATCAAGTTGACCTAATTGGAACACTTATAACTATAAGCAGCCTGTAACATGTTCTTATCTTGACATGGGGAGACCAAGTAATCTCCTAAGTGCTGGTTAACTGCATCAAACTTTTGCTGAGACCTTGAAGAAACTCCCTGCAGCAGCTACCTGCTTACTTTAGAAGTCAGGCTATTCAGAATTTAGCTTCTTGAACTTTCTGCATCTGCATTGAGCAACTTCTGTGTGCCCACCGTGAACTGGATGATGAAAGGTCCTCAGCAAAGTACACAGCACTTTGGGGGAGCAGTTCTGTCCTTAACTGTGGGTTAGCCTTTATATATGGCTGTCACTTTTATTTATACTTTTGCTTGATTCTAGTATTCATTCAGGACTGTAATCTTTTAAATATGAGACGAACATTGTCTCTGCAGATATTTTTAAAACTTCTAAGACTGGACATAGAGCAGATCCCTGAAGTGCTGCTGAGGAGTGAGTACAGCACTTGTGCATTAACAGCTCCTCTGGACAGGCAGTGCTGCCTTGCTGGCACTAATCAGCCTTGTTCTCAAGGAAGGGTGTGTTCATGGCTTTAGGAGACATGGGAAACCTATGCTAAGGCAAGTCTCTCATCAGCTTTCTGTTGCTGGTAGTTTTGACTGTTCATTTTCCGTGATTTTGGTGAGTGGTAAGAGTTTTGGTCCTTTGAGGAGGTTGTTTTGGTTAAATTGGGTTTTGAAAGTGTGCTGTGAAAATTTCAAGACATGCTAGAAATGATACATTCCTGGACTGCTTTCTGTAAGCATATTGTGATCTGGCAATGACAGGCCATAAACATGAAGCAACAAGTTTGAAGAGTTAGAAATGCTTCTCTGAAATATTTTTGTCAAATTACCCAGACAGATTGACACCACTGAGATTTTTCTGTCTTGCCTTGAAGGGGCAGCAGCTGGTAGTGCTGGAATGGAGAGCAATGAGAAAGGGCAAAAATAATCCTGCACCTCATTTGATTTATAGTGTCCTTTTATTTTCTTCTCTATCTGCCTGTACTCTTCTTCCACCCCAGCTTCTGAAAAAACTCCAGGCTCTCCAGCAACCACTAATGTGCTTGGAAACCTTTACTGTTTTGTATAAACTTGCATTTGTTTGGGCTTTTTCATGGAGATAACCCTGTCATGGGTCATTTCAGCTATGGTTGACTCTCTCCTCAGGAAGGGTTCTAGCAGTAGCCTCACAGGGCACTGAACATGGCACAGTGTGGCCCTTCTGCAGCTTCACACAGCCCCCTGTGCAGGATGGACATCAAACCCCTGGAGCTCTGCAATGTGTACAGGCAGGAGTCAGGACCCCTCAGAGCCCTCAGCTGCCACGTGATTAAAAACCAAAGAGCTGAGAGAAATTTTACAGCCTGTTTTCCATAGCAAAGGGATACACATGGGTCACAGAGGTCTGCAGAGATTCTCAAATGCAGCTGCTGCTGCAGGGGTCCAGCTGGAGGGGGGGCAGATCCGTGGGTGCTGTGGAGCTCCAGTGCTGGTGTTTACACTGCAAAGTTACCTGGACTCAGGGGCTTCTCCCTTATCTCCAGACCAGCTGTGGTCATTGCCAGGGCTGGAGCTTCAGCAGGGGAGGAGCTCCTTTGGAACCTGATTTCTGGCCTGTGGCATTCAGAGGCTGCACTGGTGAGCACAGCAAAGCAGTGACCCTGCTCAGGGGGCCTGGCTGGCCTTGGCTCACTCGGCTGTGAACACAGACACCAAACTGGGGATGAGAAAAGGTCTTCAGAGACAAAAATATACATGTCTGCAAGGTTAGAATCAATTCTGTCCCTGAGATAATGCCTGTTGTACCTGGGATTTCAGTGCCTAAATTCTACCAAAGTTTCACTTTGAACAGTGAAGTGCTTTTTGGGTCTGACATCCAGCAGATCCACATTTAAGCACAAAGTGCAGAGAAAACATTGCCAAAAGAGATGTAACTGCTTAGGGCAAGGAAATTGTGCCTCTCTAACATACTAAAATTAAGTCAATCGTGCAGCTGTTGAGACTAGAGGGAATGGTTGATGTAATTTATTTGGATTTAAAAATTAAAAAGTCCTTATAAAAATATCCCTACCAAGAAGCCATTAAAGCAAACGAGTTTTAAAGAAGTGAGAGCTAAAGTAGTTGTGCCTTAGAAACTAAGAGGTAGAGCAGGATTAAATGTTCAATTTTTTGAGCATGGCAAAAGGCTAATGGTATAGTGCCCCAACACTCCACCCAACTGGTGCAATCTGAAAACGGGATGAACATGCTGTCAGAGGGGTGGCACTGTTTGCTGTTCACAGAGAATGACTTCAGTTAATCAGAACTAGGGAAGATTGTGATTGACCTGGGTTAACAAAGTGAATAAATGGGCAGTGTGATGCAGATGAAATGCAGTGCTGACAAATGCAAGGTTGGGCACACATTCAAGGGAATAATTGGAAGTATTTGTAGGCTTTGCAGGGCTCTAAATTAAGCATAACTATTTAGGTCATTATTTACTATGATCAGCCTAGTGGGATAGTGTGTTGTGAAGGGATCCTGTGAAAACAAAACATGATGTGAGACCATGGGGGCCAGGAGGAGCCCAGAATAGAAAATACAGCTCCCATCCATAAATCAACATCAGCAATTCACCTATAATTCTGTTCTTGCCCTATCTCTTAAACCATACTGATGAAAAGTAATTCTGGAGACGGGCAACTAAATGATTGGAGAGAGGCTGAAAACAAGGCTTTGCTTAGAAAGAACTTAAGTAATAGGAAACAAAAGGGAAGTATTTTAAACAATGAGTGGTGTGAAAAATACAAGCTAAGAAGCTTCTATTTATATTGCTAATGCAAAAGAAAAAAAAAGGCAGCAAAGAGGTGTATTTAAAGAGAGTTAAAATGAATTATTTTCATGAAAACCTCATTAACCTTTGGGAATTATTCTCTTAAGCAATCATGGAGGCCGAATGTTCAAAAGCATTATGTTATTTTAAAACAATTCTTATGCTACAAGAGGACTAGAACAGTTATTCCAGATAGCTGTTCACTGCTGTCTGCAGAGATCCTGCTGCTCCATTAGAAAAGCCCATAACCTGCTGCCTTCTATTTGGGAATCAGAGCTTTTAATATGCATTGATGGTTTTGGGCTCAGTGATGGTTTTTTGCTGTCTAAACTTCGAAGTGTTTGGCAGTGCAGAGTCTCCATTGTGCCAGGGCTCCTACTCCAACATACAGAAGGAGGTGTGCACCCAAGGAAGAAATGGTCCAGGTCACAAACTTTGCTGTAGAAGGATTTTCTTTATGGAACTCCCTATTCTGAATGTGCTTTCTGCATCTGGGATCCCAGAAGGATGACTGCAGCAGCTGGTGCATTATATGGGATGGTCCTTTGAATCTCCTTGCTGCTAAGCTGAGGGTTTTGTGCTTTCCAGCAGCATTTGAAGCACTCAGGCTGCCCCGGGCTGGGATCCCTTCCCATGCCAGGGACTCTGATGGGGAGCGGCTGAGACTGATGATGACATAATACACTGAGATATTAATGCTCTTAGGCATGAATTAATGAAATACCATTGAGAATTTATCCTGCACGAATAAAGGGATTTGGAAGTTGTTGTTCTAAAAACCACAGGAAGATTTTCCTGGAACAGCCCCAAACACTGTGCTGTAACAGACATGGTTCTAATGACCCCTTGCTCCAGACTTTTGGCAGAGCCAGATGATTGAGCTGGAGTCATTAACTGAGTTCCTACTAATTTACAAAACGTTTGTATAAATGAGACACATGGATATCTTGTTTCCAGGGCCGTGACAGTGGTAATTTTTATATCCAACTCAGTGCAAAGCTGGATTCCAAGCTGTGGTGTCATTGTGGAGCAGAGACTCAGCATGCCAGTGGCATCCATCAGTGTGGGGTCCTCACCTGGCAGTGCAGTCACACAGCAAGAGCCCTGCTTGCTGAAATGGTAGCAATGCTCTTCATCAGTGTGGAGGGTGACTGTCACCATCTATTAAAAAAAAATATTAAGGTAAGCTTTGCTGTGACCTCCCTGGTGTGTCTTTGCAGGGTTACTGAGGTGGAACTGAAGAATTACTGCTGTATCCCATCATTTTCCATTCCTCATTGTCCCCTAGAGTTAGTGAGTTTAAAATGTTGTACAGATACATATAATCATCTTCCTGTAGCTTCTCTTGATTTAAAAAGTAATTTTATTCAGGGATTAAAAGTTTACACTACGATATGTTGCCATATAATCAAGTCTAGAATAGAGAAGTTTTGTTAAGTTTTGAGGCAAAGTGGGATAACAACCGTTGCTCTCTTAATGTCTGTTCTGTGCAGTTAAAAAAAATTCCTTAAAAATTAGGACATGAAATATGACACATATTTTATCCATAACTTATGGCAATTTGAAACACCCTTTATTGCCTACATAAGTGAATATATGTAAACTTTATTAATTTCATTTCAAATTTAAAAGAAGCAAAGGTGTATTGTAGAATTCACAGATAGAGGTTAATTTAAACTATAAAGTTATTACCAGTGTTGCATTTCTTCATGTTATGGTTCACTTATGTAGAATTGAGATGTATTTTATATTAAACAATGCATAGCACCATTATACAACAGTTCACTAAATGCACATCCCATTCAATCTTTTGTAGGAATTAATATAATTGGACTGAAGTTACAAGGAAGAATTGAATTGAGCCAGTAGGGTTAACACTGATGGTAACAGGAGATAACTAGCCATAAGAAAATTACAGCTCTTCTGAAAGACAGTGCCTAAAATAGCAGCATATCCTTGGCACCATCATAGGAACTGGTTAACTGATGACCCTGAAGAAACATTTGTTTCCATTAATTCTGCTGTCATTATTTCGCTATTCTTGAACTCTTCCTCTGAATTCTTCTGTCCTTCTGATCCCAAGATGGCAGGAATGTGAGAAGAGAACATAAAGAAATTACAATAAGCTGTCAGCTATATAATTATACTGTAACCTACTACACTGAGAAGTTACACCAACAGAAATTTGGCAATGTATTGGCTGCTAGCTAAACACAGGACTCTCACTAGCTCAACATTAAAAAAAAAAACCAGGCTCACTAAAAAGCAACATCTGCATTACAAAGAAGCTAACAAAAGAATTCCCTTATGATACTTAGGTTCAGCTGCTTCATCTTAGGTTCATCAGCTACACTTTCTTGTTTTGTGAGTACTTACTACATTTGCAATTTAATATATATTTAAGATCACAACACTACAAACCTTCCTCCAGTCTGTAGTTTTGCCACCTTTAGTTAGACACAAAGGAGTGCTTGCTTGAACTAGGGTTGAAGATTCTGAAGAAAGTTGGTGAAGTTATTAGGTCATGTATACTGTAATTACTTGAGCACCACAATTTTGAAACCCTTAAGAACATGATTTCCTAGGTAGAAGGCAGCAAGTATGCTTTCAAGTTGTCAGACAGACTAAGGGAATAATTTTTGCTCCGAGGAGTCTGCTGTACACCCTGAATCAGAACCAAGTCCTGTTTCATAGAGACTTTGGATTTTTAAAGCATCTCTACTAAACAGAAGCAAACCAGTACTGATTAAATTTTAAATGTTCAGTGACTTTACTGCAAACACAGTAACTTTTAAGTGTTAAGGAACTTACTGGCAAGAGTTACCAGTAAGGCTGGTGGTGAAGATGCCTTTTTCAAGAACAATCACTACAGTGTCACAGTCCTGAGTACAGATATATTGAGATTACCTGAACCCCACAGTTCCATCTCAACCTGGACTTTATTTTTTTTTACAGAGTTTGAACTTTCTCAACAGCAGGAAGTCTTGCCGAAAACATTCTTCTGAAATTGATACTTCAAAATGCATTGACTTATTTTCCAAATGGACTTTATATACTCCAATGCATTAGAAGGTAACAATACAGCTTTCAAGTGAATTTTTTGCTGTTATCACACATGGAGTCACAGTGGGCACACATGTGGCCTCTGTGATGGTGGGGTGTTAATTTGAGAGTTATCTGGAAGAACCCAACTTTGGAAGTGGTGACAAATGGAAGTTCTCAGTGTTATCTCTGACAGGCCCTCGATGAGAGGGACAAAAGAGGCTTGGGAATCAACACAACAAAGACTTCAGACTTCCAATTTTGCCACTGATTTGTAGATAACATCTTGGGCATCAGCTGCCTTCTGCAGTTCGCCAGTCTGGTAGAACAGGGACAGTCATCCTGATTTATCCGACGCCAACCAGCGCCGTGACGGATGAATTATTTAGATTATTTAGATTATTCAGACAGCACTCGCAGTGCTGGCCAAATGCTGCTTATTCATGTTTTCCCCACTGCAACAATATATCTTCATCACTAATAATTAACTGCTAATTACTGTTGCCGAGACTATGATAGTGGCATTTACCACCTTATTTTTAATTTCAGTGCAGATGCCTACTTAAAAGTTATGTAAATACATGAAATTACAGTACATTTTCCTAATGACCCTGCTATGTCTGAGTTTGATCCTATTCAATTGTGACTAAGGAACAGTAAAGATCTCCCTTCTGTAGAGCCATAGACAGTTTCTGTTGTATTCTTGACACTTAAATCATGAAATGTAAAGAAGTCATTCTAGGCAGGATACATCTGGGTTGAAGGACTGCTGATGCCAATTATGCTTCGTACATAATAATGCACATTTTACCTATTTGGAAAAAAATTCACATTTATTTACTGTCAAACAGGTGTTAAACTTTACACTGGATATTAGTGATGGGCTCATTATTAACAGGTTTACACAAAGGGATGAAAAAAGCAGAATTTTGTTGAAACAATTTACATTTCATTAGATTTTTTTTATCATAAAATAAATTAATTACTAAATATAGGCAGAAGGAATATGGAAGAGTAATAGTTATGTTTTATTTATTTTTTTTTAAAGGACAGGCACCTTTTATTCACGAGAAAGCTTGTGAGAAGTGTCCAGTGTCCCCCTTACCCCTTACCACCCAACCCTGATTAAAGACTGAACAGGGAACTGAGTTACAATCTTTGTTAGCTATACCAAATTTGTGCAAGGCTTGGCATAATTGGCTTCTAAAACAATTTTCTCCCAAAATTATGGTTTTTTTGGCAATAAAAATTCAAAAACTTAAGAATAAAAACTAACTTGTCAAAGCAGAACACTGTTTACAGTGAAAAATAAGTGAAAATGGGTAGAAGTTGCATTTTAAACATACTACCGTACTATGAACAGTGTAAGAAAAACAGCTTATAACGTATGTGCAACCAAGAGCTTTTCACAATATTTTCTTCAAACTCTTTAAAATTATTTTTTAATGACAATTATATTTCAGTTGGACACAAATGTATTTATTTTACCCTAGCAATAGAACAAAATATAATTTCTTTAGCCATTTTTTCATGAGAACGGTTCATTGTACAGTTGAGGAAATATATGAAATAAGGCCTGTGGCTTGATTGCTAGTGGTTAGACATGTATTCAATCTTTGCCCTAATGGAAAAGATTTGCAGTGAACTGCAAACTGATGCAGAATATCTCTCCTGCTTTTGCAAGTCTTGTCAGGAATAGTAAGGTACAGTAAATTTGTCCCACAGGATTTTAAAGCCTACGCCTTGTATATAATACAATGTAGGCCTAGGAAAAAAAACATGGTGCAGCCATATTTACAAATTTAGTTCACAAACTGCTGCAGTAAAATGGCTGGAAAGTGTTTATTTCTCTTTTTTTTTTTTTCACAATTTTGTTAAATTCAGCAGCAGAAGATATCTTAAATACCTTGTTGGTATTTCTTTTCTTTGTAACAAATAATTCATTTTAGTATACTCTGTGTATATACAAAGTTTTTGTTTTATAAAAATTCACAGAACTGCGAGGTCCAGTCATCTCCGTTACTGGAGAACCACAGGGTCAACAGAATTGTCTCTTCAAGCAGATATGAGGGAGCCTGCACGGGGCAAATTAAGTCTTTTTAATACTTGAACGTGGCCTTTAATATTTCTTTGCTACACTATTAAAGGCTCGTCACTAGTTGCATTTGTCCTTCTCTAACGTCTCCTTCTGGAATACATCCTTCCTTGTTAATGGGAATTATGTAGCCGTCGCTGTTACCCCTGCTGATCTGATAGTACATCTGAAGCTGGTGGCCAGCTCCTAGGTTTGGCATGCTCTTGTAGTAAATGTCCTCGTTTTCACTCCTCCTGGAGGGAGAGAGATCCTCCTCGACATCGGGGCTGCTCTCTGGGTACGGAGAGTCTCTGAGGTTGGGCATGCTCGTGTAAAGGGAGTCTCTGTTGGGGGACTGGAGGTGGTCGTCGGCCTCGGCGGTCAGCTGGGACACGTAGCTGTCCGTGCCCTCGGGCTTCACTTTCTTCTGGGGCTGGTACAGAAGGGAGTGAGTCCGCTGAGGGATGAGCGGGGCCTCGAGCTCCTTGTGGTGCAGCTCCAGCCCCGGGGTGTCGCTGTGCATCAAAGACGAGGCGTCGGCCACGATGGCGTCGTCCTCGCTGCTGCTCCCGCCCATCGCCGCCTTGGCCGGCAGCGCCCGCTCCAGGTTGTGGTTCTTGCTGCTGCCCCGCAGGTTGTTGTGCACTAACTCTGAAATGATCATTTTCTCAAAAGCAGTATCATTCAGGCTTAGTCCACAGTCTACGACTTGCACGCTGTCGTTATAGTCTCCATTGCGCAACGAGTAGCTGTTGTTGAAATTACCATTTAGCGGTAGAGTATCCATGGCACTTGTATCCCTGGCATTGTTCAGTGAATGTCCTGAAAGGGAAAAGGACACCTCTGGTTATTGCCTGACACGCTTTGATCACTTGTGTTTGTTTTTTTTTTTGTTCTTTTTAACACAATTCTTTAATGTAGTTCAGGACAAAGTTGTACTTGGAAGTAAAACTTGAGAAAGGTTAGGTTATTGAACATTCCCAAATGTAAACAGTTGCACACCTTATAGGAAAGATGCATTCTAAAAATAGCAGTGTGTATTTCCTGTGGGGAATAGTGGCATTTGAATTTCTTAATTTAGTGTCAATTCTGTGACTTTTCCACCAGGAACTGTTCACTCCATGCCCTTGCATATGTAATGCAAAGCAATTCGTTTGGAAACATCTATGTTTTGAAGTACACCACCATGATTTAGAAAAAGAAAATTAACAGAATTTGTCCTAAACGACACTAAATTAAAAAGGAATTAGATCACAGACATAACTGAAGGTAAATGTACAACATAAACCCACATAACTGGCAAGCAACTACTTTAACAACGTTTCTAACATTTTTTTCCTGTTGGTTTTTTTTTTTTGAGATGAAGTAAAGAAAAGAATGAAAAAAATGGATAAATACAAAGAATTTATGTTAAACGAGGACAGCCATCTTTCACACTACAGGGACCAGGGCCCACAAGCACCATCCAACAACACGATAGACAGCAGGTGGAATGACTCACTTTGGACAACTCACATCATGTCTGTCTGCTCAGGCTATCTGGCCTAAGAGTAGCTGATATATAAAAGAAAGTAAAATGATTTATTGTAACATGATGAAGAATTACTGAGCTTCTCAGCAACTTAGTCAGAGCAAGGGTTCAGCAAATTAGATTACTAAGCAATAACAGCTTTTCTTTCCCCACTTAATGTAATTTTTTTGCACTAATATTCTGTCTGCCAACAATGGCCCCAGGCCCCTAAAGGTCAGAGTTTGCCTGCAGTCTGCATCAGTCACAGTGACAGCACTGAATGAACCAGAATAGTTAATTAAGAGTTAGGCCCACAGTTAACCATGGGCATGGAAGTCAAATGCAGAAATGTTAGGAATTTCTGTAAGTATGGGTCACAGAAATTAAACCAAAGAATAAATATTAGTTGTGGAATGGGAAGAGGAAATCAGCCATGGCTGATATCTCAGAGCTGTTGGAGGAATGACAGATTGGGTAAGTCTGCTGAAAACATGAAAAGGAGTTTAAGGGGGGGGAAATGAAAGTCTTATGATGATTAAGGTCTTTATGCTTTTGGTTTTGGCTTTTTTTTTTTCCAGTAACTCGATAAAGAAAAGGTTTTCCTATAGACACAAAGACATGTAAACCATGACAGCACAGTGCTTCCCAAGCAAAGGAAAAAAAAAGGAAAAAAAAAAAAGAGAAAAAACTTTGCAAGAAATTAAACAGTCTGAACCATGGAAGTCAGATGGTGAGAGCATTCCTAGAAAATCACTTTATCTACAGATATGTCTGGAAAATAAAGAAAGAATGAAGTGACTTTACTGAAATGAGACTGACCACTGTGAGGCTGCTGCATAATATGCAAGGCTTGGAGGAGTATAAGAGAAAAGTTTTTTTGAAAAAGATTATAAGTTTTTCCCATTTTCTGTTTTTTGTTTTTGTTTTTTTTTTTTATAATTAAAGCTGCAGCTTATCCTAGAAAATTCAATCCTCTCTGGAAATATTGTTTTCAATTAAAAAGTAATTGCATTTTCTCATGAAAAGATCTTTTTCTTCAACTTTAAAAAAATGGAGTAATAATTTCCAAATAAATTTTGAGCAATTTGCAAGTCATTTTGCATTTGTGTTATTGGTAAGTCTTCTCCATGTGGCCTGATTTACACAGTGATGAGGGTCGTTTGAAAGGTCTCTTTAAGCTTTGATTAAACAACTTTGTAGTTTGGCAATTTCATGTATGTTCCAGGATTTTTCTTGCAATGAATTTAGCTGCAAAGAACATATGGCATTTATAAAAGTAGACAACACATGGACCACATGCTGGATTCATTTCCCTCATGAAAGTGATTTAATTCTGTAATTTTAATTTTCTTTTTCTCTGCTAAACAGATATCAAAATAATAATCCAAAATGAGTTTTCTATGATATACTGCAGAGTTAAGCATGCTAGAATATATTCAAATTGGTTTGATGAGGCAAATTTTGTTGCCCGCGATCAGGTAATCAATTTGAAATCTTTCCATAGCCTGTAGCAAGATTACTGTAGGGATATAAAAATATAAGTAAATTGTTAAGCATTTTGGCGTGACACCGCTTTGGTTTTAAACAGCAAATTATTTCAGCATTGCATAACTCGTGTTACCAATAGGGTTTGCTACAGACCTCGTGTCGCTTCCCAAAAAGCAGTATGCAAGTACTTTTTGAATGTGGAAACATTTCATTTGCAAATTGTGAACCACTTGCCCGCTGAGTCTACTTCATGACCGCTAGTTATGTTTTAATTGTGCCCATTAAAAATCATGCTGAAAAAATTTACATTTGATAGGCAAAGTTAAGTTTTACTCCCATACTTGTCTCTCTGTAGGTTGCTAGAGGAAAGCATAAGGAAAGTAAGAAAACAAGAGAATGAAAATAGAAACTACAGTTCAGTTAAAAAGGAAACTTGAAATAAAAACTGGAAACAAGGTTTTTATGAGCTCTTTTTCAAAGATTTATCATTCCAGTTACACTAAAGTGATGTTATGACTCATCAAACAGTATCTGCAAGATATTTACTGATGAGTTGCACCGTTGTTTAAAAAAGCAAGTAGATAATGTAACAACAAAATGTTAGGTAAGTGATGACACCCTTTATTCCTACAGAACTAAACTGTTCTAACTGTTAATCCCAAGATTTTCCTACAGGAAAATGATCTACATAAAGCTGCACTATACTATAGTTTCGATCTGTTTGATGCTGGATACTGTTTTCTACACCGGGGTATCCAAAGGTGCCAAGATGCCTTGGGCTTTGCTATTTAATCTGTTCCAGAAGCAGGATTTTCTCAACAAGCTTTAGAGTCAACCTTTTATTGCATAGACATGATACCTCTAAGTGATATATATCTTGAAGATGGGCTCTCGGACCATGTGGTGTCAGTCCTGTAATAGTATATTAAGATTTATGCCACCTGTGTTAAAGACATGGATAATTATTGGTAAATACTGTTAGGGCAAAGGCATTACTATAATATAGTGCAGTTTTACAAGCTGACATTGGCAATACTGTATTTCCCCGAGTGACAGAAATTCAGACACTAGGGCTGGGGTGTTGCAACTCGAGTTTCTGTCTGGGGAAAAGAGGGAATGTGGAGCGAGCCAAGAAAAGCGGTTTATTCAGGAAGTATAAGCACACCTGGTGAGTTAAACACAGGAGCTGAAGGGGCATTACATACAACTGTTTCAGCGAGCAATGTGTTATAGGGGTTGTTAGTGCCGTGTGGTCGAAGAAGAGGGTTTGTTAGTAGGTAATTGCCAGTCATTCCTAAAGCAAAAGAAACAGAAGAAAAAAAAATGTCAGTTCTTTAATTTTAGTCTGACGGTTTCAATAAAGAATATTTTTTATTCCTCATGAATCATGTAGGACTTGTCAAATGTAATTCAGCTGAAAATTTCTGGATGTGTTTTAGCTACGTATTTGAAATGGGAGCAGGAAAACACAGTTAGATTCCAGTAATTCACAGGTGCTGCCCAAATCCCCAAAGTAAACATCTCGTGAAAGTGATATTTACTGATGTATACAAATCAGCTACACCAGAACAGCAATTAAATGGGTAGAGATCCAGGTACTACATAAAGCTATTAGAACTTTAACACTGAGCATATGGAGCAGTTCTGTCCAGAATGGAGAGAACTGAATTTCTCAAACTGAAAACCCTCTTATGACAGGATGAGAGCTGTTATTCACTGTATTAAAAACACACAGAGAGTGGAAGGGAGTTGCTGCTTTCAAACGGATAGTGGATGATAAACTGCAAGAAGCACATCTTAGTATATGCAAAAGTATGCATGCTGAGGGGAAAGCAAAATATTTGCTCTAAGAAATCAGAGCATTCACATTTTCTCCCGGGACATTCATGCTGCAAATTTATCTGCCAGGTTTAAAAAAAATAGATTTCCTCGAATGACAAATTTCTTTAAACAACCAGTTTACAAACAACGTAAGACAAAGCAAAATACCACATGAACACATTTTTTTAAACCCATTTTACATGTTAATGCAACACCATTTAAACAACCCTCGGAATAATTAGGAAAAAACCAGCGTATTATGAGACATTATTAAAAAGTCAAGTAATCTCTGATTTCTAGCTACTACAGGAAAAATGGATTGGAATAACGACCAAAAAAAGCCACACACAAAAAGCTGTGTTTTAAAAATTAATTTAAACTTTTCAATAAGGCAAAATTTCACTTTCTATTGCATTGCACGAGGTCAGAGTATTACAGAGCCAAGGACAACTAAAGAGACAGCTATATCTTTATAGCATGGATATTTTTGGGGCAAGGAATGATAGTATATATTCCAAATATTAATGCTTTTGTACTGCTTACTAGCAGAATAGATACTTAGTAGCAGAAATGAGCAGAAATTTCTGAGATTCCAAGAATTACTGTCTGACTATGCTAATCTTATTTGAAAGTTTGTATCAGTGATCAACTAAAAAGCTTTTATCACAGCTTTTTTCAGTTGTAAGGTACTTCTTACTAAAAATACTAACATTTTTCCTTGGATTTTTTTTCATCTTGGTTAAAATCATTACTTGTAATTTAGAGTTAAGAATCTTTTTCAATCCAAATTGTTTTGACCACCTTTATAAGCTTTATTTTTATTTTAAAGGAAAAATTACACTTCCCATTAATTATTAGACTACTCTTACAAGTATGTACCAGTGAGATAGTGACAGTCTCATAACTGAAAAGAGTTGATAGCAATTTTTCTAATCATGGCAGAACATCTCCAGTGACTTGAGACTGGAACTCGGAACAGGGAAAAGCTTTCAGGAGCTCAGCTCAACTCTGCATTACCTCAGGGTGTAGCACGGTTAGAGCAAACCTCAGGAGCCAGAGACATCAAACTGGGGTGAAAACCCAAACTTTTATATAATGTGTATTTATGGGATTTTAATAAGACACTGGAGGGGAACTAACTTCTTTCTTGGACATGAAAAATACACCTTTTCTACTTAATTTTTGCCAGAGGAACATGCAAGACCCATATGGGGAAGGGGAGCAGTGAGACACAGCTCTTCTCGACACGCCGAAGAGCAGAACTGGAACTGTGCTCCCTGCCACCTGTGCCTCTGCAAATACCACAGTTCTTACTTTCAAAACCAACATGAGTCAAGCACATGCCCTTGCCATTAAATCATGAACTTGAATTTTCTGTCTGAAACTTTGTGAGCTGAGCAGGAGCGGGTTGCAGTGAGACCAGGGCTCTTCACGTGGGGACGTGGGTGGAGGACAGGCTCTGAACCTGCCTGGCACAGAGCACTCTTCTCTCCTCTGCTGCTCAAACTGCCCTAAGGAAACCCAGCAGGGAGGGCAGAGAGGAAGGGACAATCTGTCTGGGTTAATACCCCTGTGTTCTGCCTGGACAAGAGAATGATGTTACAGATTTCAAAGTCTGTTTGAGTTGAGAAGTTTTGACTGTTTGACTTCTCTGTGCCTGAAAAATCTGGATTCTATCCCATGTTACAGATATGATGCTCTTTGAAACAGAAAAGATAAATGCTTCACAGACATCTTTTGCATAGAAATGATATCAATTAGATTTCACTGGGAAAATTTCTGCACCTAAAAATCAGTCAAATACGCATTAAAATGTTACTGCACTCATATTTCTGTTTCAGATTTAACCTATAAAGGTTAGGAAAGATTTAAAATTATGATCTTGCTTTTAAGCTAAATTATTGATGAAACTTATTTAAATACATTCCCATGAATGGAGGAATTCAGCTTCTATAGCAGGGCCAGTTGAGGGAACACTGTTTTAAAAAGTGCTGGTGGATGACTTTAAAACTCTGCTTTTAGAGAACATTTGTTCCAGATTTTTTTTATTTTTTTTTGGAAAACATTCTTTTCAATTCTTCTGTGCTAAGTGATATAAAATCTGTATAAAATTTAAGGATTCTAAAACCGAAATGTTCCCAGTGACTGACCTTGATTAAGTGTTGAAGTGCTGTTGATGTCACCTGAGATAAAAGACGATTCAGATTGTTTTCTCACAGTGTCATTCCACATCCTCCTTATACGACTCTGTTAACATAAAGCAGTGAGACAAAAACATAGTAAGTTATGAAAAGATCTTTTCCTACTCATGTGCTATTATGTAGAATATTTGTGGTTTTTTTGGCCTAAAGGAACACATTCTTCTAGCACATAGTGAAAACGCCTTCTTTTTTTATTAAAACTCTAATTTATTAAACTTCATTTAGATGAAACATGGTGGTATAAACCTTCCTATAAACCCTAATTACAAGAAAAAAAAAAAAAGGTGCTTGTATTAGACCAAAATAAAAGGAAATGTTTAAAAAGAAATAATTCTGCTATGCAGTATTTGCCATGATAATGATAATGATAATGATGAGAAGACAATTAGTCCTTCTGACTGGAACACATCTCAGTGGGCTTTTAATAAATAAACGTAATTAAAAGGTGCTGTCAAAGTGTTTGTCACCTGAGTGCCAGAGGAGTAGCGGGCGCTGGTTCTGGTGGTTGATGCCTTCACTGAGCTGTGGGGGCTCTCCGTGGGCAGCCCCCCACAGCAGTAGGAGTGTCGGAAGCACTTCCCATACTCCTTACGCACCTTTGGGGGAGAAAACCAAACTGCTCAGCACAAGGATCGGTGTTAAACAGCTCTGCTGGCAAAAACACAGGAACCTGGCACTGAAACTGCCTTTCAAGCAGATAGATAATTCTCGTCTGTCAAACTGCTGGCAAAACCACGACTCTCCCCTACTCAGTGGCAGTACTATCAGCTACCCAGGACTTCTGAAACAATTATTTCCAAGGTATGGACACACTTCATTTAGATGTCCTTGAATAATCATTACTGAGCTAGTTATGGAATTATATTTATTTTATCTTCATACTGTAGAGTAGTACAGTTAAGTTTACCTGAACTGAATGGTGGCTGAAAACAGTCCTTTTTATATGAGCTTTTGGTGCAGAAAGCACAGGATTCCAGCCTGTATTCCCATCCCAGCAGGCAAGGAGGGCTGAGGTAACCAGCCTTTGCACTGCCCTTTATGTTTTGCCTTGTGCTCGAGAGTGCCAAGCCTGCCATGGCTGTAAAGGCATTTTCCCCCTCTGTGTAACTCCCTCAGCTCACTCCACGTGCCCACCCCTGCTCTGGCACCCAGCAGAGCTCCCCAGTGCCCCACTTGGGGCAGAGCAGCAGCTCTGCTGGGGAGGCACCTTCCAGTGTCCCAGAGTCACAGTCTGAGCCATAAAGGATGGAGTGAAGCAGCTGCCACTTCAGGACCAGAACATACAACTGCCATTACTCAGTTTGTTGAGCCTGGAAATTTGAATATACCTATGTAGATTTTTTTTTTTTTTCCTGAGAGAGCAACAAAACTAATTAATGATTCCAATATTTGGCCTGCATTCATTCACCTTCTGTTTCCAGTGACCTACTGGAAACTTTAGCTTTGTTATGTGTGTTAATGATTGCCATAAAAGTAATCAGGATTAATTTACAGAGCAGTTAATTCTCTCATATTCAGTGACTGCTACACTGACTACTGTTTTCAGGTAACAGGAGAGCACATGCACATCTTGGCAGCGTGACAGCATCAGGGAAAGGACACAGTGGATAAAATTTGTATAGATGTGTAAGTCTAAATTCATAACTCTTCCATCAGAGAGGTGGGAATTTAAGTGTCTCTTCTACATCAATGAGACTCATGAGTTCCTGTGAAAAGTAGGATTTCAGCTAATCTGAAAATTCTGCCTGACCTATGAATATATAACACAGAAAGTTATGTGTATGCAAAAAGGGGAAAGGGGAAAATGAAAAAAGTTAATTGTGTGGATTTACATATGTAATGTGCTGTTTTCAACATTACAGGAGTTTTACTCATGGAATGCATACTGTGATGTTTCTATAAAGCACAAGGTTGAAGAAAATTTGAATAATTTGTGCCTTAACTTCAAGCTAGGCACAATAACTCACCTTTTTATAAAAATATATGGTACATATTTTAAGTCAACCCCATCTATATCAGCACAAAAGACACATAAAAAACGAAAGCAGAAATGAAACAACTTAGAATTATAATTTTCAACCCTGTAGTGTAAAAAACATAGGTCTATATTTATGGTGTAACACCTAAAAAAATACATTCCTGAACACTAATGGATACTAAATGCTCCAAACCACTACACAGTAGAGACAATAGCAATCAAAACTGTATTTTTTCCGAAATACCACCCTCCAGGGCTGGTTTTGCCTAATGCCTCTATTGCAGTGAATGTACATTATCTGTCAGGAGTGTGCATTCCACTGTCATTATTTCTAAATTATAGCTTGTTGGAAACTGATGGAAGCAACAGCACCATCATCTCGTCAGAACTGGAAACATAATAGTTTTCACTTCCACAATTCTATTTCTCTGTTCAATTTAGTGACCAACTAGTAATAACAGAATAAAAAGACTACATTAGCTATGCAGACAGAGGGTAGGACAACATCCAGTCAAAAGGCAGCGACACTTGAAAATCTTAAATGGCAGCTTTAACATTCTTTCAGGTATAAATCTTATTGCTCTAGGTTATGCTGTTTCACACTTGACTGGTATTTTAATATTCCTTTCTGCTGACTCCACTTTATATAAAAACAATGCACAGCTGTAAAAAGAAATAAAAAAGGAATCTGTTTTTGATTTTTGAGTCCAACACAAATACAAAAAGGGAAACATTATACGAAACCCTAATCTAGACATTATTTGCATTTTGAGAATGTTTGCATTTTCTTCCCTATCTTCTTTTCTTAGGCTCCATCTCCTCTCTAAGTGTGCTTTTGTTCTCTCAAAATGAGAGGAGTGCCATGTTCATCTGGATAAAATGCTTTCTGTCTACCAGATCTTTGCTAAAACATGTCTGAATGCCATTGTCTACACCAGCTTTAGAGATGCTGATACTCTTAGAGCTGGTACAGTTGAGAACATGCACGAATATGGTTTTTGTATTTTTTGTACTTCCACAGCAACGCTTTATCCAATGGTCTCAAACCATCTTATAAATATCTGTTAATTATGTCTCTGGTGAGCTAATTATAATGGGAGTTAACAATTGCTAGGTCTCCAGCCTAAAATTGGTAAAAATATTTAAAATCTAAATATTGCAAATAAGGTATTTCCAAATGTAGGATGTACTGCATTACATGTTACTTTTTTTGGGTGGGACTTTTAACATTTACCCTTCCTCTCAACTCTCATTACTTTCACTTGTCCTGCCTTCTAACACAGGCTGTCAGCTTTTCTCATTCACTCTTCCTTAAAGCCTCTCTGAGGCACCCTTGGAAGCAGTCTCTATCTCCTGGGGAACAGAAGGGGTGCAGGGAACCCAAAAAGAATCCCACAGAGCTGCACCCTTCACCTGCCTTCTCTCTTGCTTGTTCCTCTCTCCCCTGCAAGCTTTCCAGCAGATCTGCTCATTCTGGACCCTTCTGCTCCCACCAGCTGAAGGGGTGCAGAACTAGTTCAGCTCATCCCTCTTGCCAGGGGATTCCAGTTTTTCCAGTTAAGAGAACAAAGCTATTGGGATTTCTGGGGGAGGCAAACTCTTGGAAAAAAAAGTAGTCATGCTGGCATCTTTTCCATCTTTAGAAAAGTACTGCTGTTAGTAGCTGCTTAGCATTAATGACCACTTTTTTCTAAGGTGTGCTGAAGTTCATAGTAAAATTAATTTTTACATCTCACTTGATTTCGTGATGAATGAGCACACCAAGTACAGACCCTGCCTATCACCTGGAGCTTTGTGTGGCAGCTTAGTGGGATCTCAGGAGAGGTCCTCTGCCTTAATCTGAGGAAAGGAGAGGTTTCCAGGCTCATACTGGAACTGGTCCTTTGGCTGCAGCCCTGCAGCAGGGGCAGGACTTGTTTCACATGGGCATAAAAGACTTTTGGCTCTAAGTCCAGACTAATAGATACCATATCACCAGTGTTAAACAGGACATTTTCTATAGCAATTTTCTTCACAAAGCCTCAAAACATTTCAAGCCCAGGTTGGAAATGGTGCACCCCTGTTAAACCTGCCTGGGGCACAGAGCAGCTACACGACTCCCACATACAGCAAGAACTGCTTTGGAATCCCAGTCCCCTCCCCAAATTACTTCAAAATACTACAGTTCTTGACTTTGCTATTTTTTTTCTCTATTTTTTTAAGAATTATATGTGGCCTTCCTAAGGAATTAGGGAACACACATCTGTGGTTCTGGTAACTTACTTTCTTTTGGAGGGCACAATGAAAGATGAATATAAACATTCCTTGGAAAGCATTAAATACTGTGAAGAGATAGGTCATCACAACAGTCCCCTCGTTTATGAACAGCAGGCCAAATGACCATGTTAGGCCAAGGAGACACAGGAGAGCAAATGCACCCAGGACCCAGGATCTGTAAAAGAAAATTAATTTTAGTAACATTACTTAGGAGAATGCACATGGCCAAATCCAATATTAACATTTCAGTTCCTGCAGTTGACTTTTACTAGTTTCATATTCAAATGTAAAAATTCCTTGGGTTTAACCTTTTATCTATCAAAGAAAGAACAATTCCATTTAGTATTCTTAGTCTCCAGTGAAAACAGCAAGAGTAGATATAACCTTTTTCTTTCTCAAGAACAGCACAGGATGTCAAAACTATTTTGAAATGCAGAAGTATAGCACAAACCCCAGCTACTCCACTGCCTTATCTGCTTTTAGAAAAGAGATTGATAAATCTGGCTTAGCCACTAATCACACCATAGATTTTAAACAGTGGTGCTGCCATATGACACCAAATAATGTCACACAAATGCACAAAGGTTAAACAGCAGACTAAAAGCCTAGAGCCCAAATCTTTAATGCTCCGATAAACTCAGCTAAACCGAAGCTAGATGGTCTAACTTCCACATGAAGAACCCCTGCTGAAATGTGACAAAAACATGGAGATTGCTTTACAGAATAATCTAAAAAAGATTCCATCATGAGCAGGTTAAGGAAAAGGAATTGTAGCGAACGGCACAGAATGAAAGGGAAAGGGAATTTAGTCAGTGAATTCCACATCTAACTAATGATCTTACTTGATAAATGGCTTATTATCTTCATAGCTAGAAAGCATTATAAGCAGAAAAGAGAAACAAAATTATTAGACAGAATTGAAACAGAAATTAATAAGAGCATTTTTAATTGTCTATAAAAATTAGTCAAAATTAGGAAATTCAAAATGCAGAGGCAAGCAATTTAAAATTATAAAGGCATATAATAGTTAAAAAGTCTTTAGCAAATCAGATATCTCAAAAATAGTTAATTAAAATTAAGGGAAATCCACAATATGACCGAGTTTGTAAAGTTAAAAGTCATGCCAGAAATTTGTTAATGTAGGGTTCTATCTTACCCAGGTAAGTCCGTATTATAGTAGCCATCACAAACACGGTAATTACTGGTGTGGATGAGGAGACAGAAAGAGGAAAAGGAAGAAAAGAGAGAGATGCTAAAGATTAGCTCTCTCTCTCCTCATGCAACATGCAATGAAGCTGGTACTGACCTATCTAGAACATCCTAGTTCCCAAGGGTCCCTCACTGCAAACCTCCCTTGGCCATTTGCAACAGTCAAAGCCAATCTGTAAGACCCTTTCACATCCAACCCTCAGCGTTAGAAAGTTGCACCATCCCTTCAGTGTTGGTAACAAAAACCTTCAGTACAATGTAAAGCTACAGAGAATACAGTAAAAAGCTATCTAAAAGAGGGAGAGCTGCCAAAGCCTTGTTAGTTATATAAAACTTGTATTACTCTGCAAAAGGGATACTACAGTACAGCACCATGATAAAGTAAACATTTGTTAAATTAGCATGAAAACAGCAGATAATCTTCAAGTTAACAATAATAATAGAGTCAATTCTCTTGGGAGTACAGGATTACGAGTAGAAACTGCTCAGAATCCCTAAATCAAAAAGTCATTTAACAAAACAAACTTAATATAATCGTATCAGCCATGCAAACAGGAACATCATTTTTGAACTGCATTTTAAATGCAAATGAAATTACTACAGTGCTGTGGCATTTCCGTGAAACAGTTTCTTGGCACTAGTTCCAGGCTGAAATTATCTAATTTTGACCGGCGTTTGTGACATTACAGCAACAATGTGACGAAAGCAGGATTGGCTCTGTTTGCTTCTAATTGACATCTGCAGTTGCTGGGAGACAATGGCATGTGCTCCTAATGGAGAGTAGCTTTCAATCAGTTCAGCAATCAGAAAATAATCATAGTTCTCATACTTGAACACAAAGCACTTACTTAATGTTTTCCAACCTGCTAGAGTCTGGTTTCAAAGTGTTTGAGTGCTTCACCATTTTGCACAATGTGATCACCAGGAAGATAAGATTCAGCTGTCAAAACAGATAAGAGTGAAATTAAACTACTTCAAGTAATAGGTTGAATAATGATGATGTTACAGGCTAAACAAAAACCCTGTAGTTTATTTTCAAATAAGTACTGAAAGTTGGTAACTACATCAGATAGTCTGTAAAAAAGGTGATTGCAAATACATACGAGGGGGGAAAGAAGTGTTAGAAGTCCTTGTTTCACTTAAGTTTCCAAATTCCAAATACCATCCTGAGCTCCTGCCCAGCACTTGCCATCCCCAGTCCAGCTCCCCCTTGCAGCATGTTGTGCTCAGCCCCTGCCCACCTTTGCCTGTCACCTCTGGCCCTTTCCCCAGCTCACTGATTCCCTCTGAGGACTGTGCTTACCCCTTTCCTGTGCTATACTACTTGTCTTTTTAGCACCTCATCATGCTTTTGAAACGTTTTTCACCTTTGCTGCTTTCCCCCCCCCCGCTTTGTTTTTTTATTCCCTTTTGTTCTCACAAATTCCAGAAGAGAGCTTAAATGTAACTGAGGAAAAAGAAAGAGAAGAAGAAAAACAAAGATGTAGCGAATGCATCAATCTTAACAGTGCCACAGACACGTGCTGGTGCTGCACCCTCCTGCTGCCCTCTTTCCCTTTGTAGTCTGCATTCTGTCAAAGTGACTGTGTGCCACTTGAAGGACTGGTGTCTTATTGTTGTGTCCATACAGATAACACCAGAGAAGATGCTGAAGGAAATTTTTTATAGTTTTCCTATTTTGAAACAGAATCCCAGATATCAAAGTTAGTAGGTGCCTTTCTCCCATCGATTTCAGAGCCTGTGAAGAGCACAGCAAGCCAAATACAAGGATGCCTGCAGAGTATGGGCTGGAAAGCGGCACCCAGTTAATCTGAGTAATTAGTTTGTTCATGCAGACCGTTCAAACAAAATTGTATCTTTGAAACCAGCAAGAGCTGTAAGTACAATAAGTAATGGCTGAACCAAAAGCTAAGACAAGATGGGAGAATATGCTTGGACATCCTTGTAACACATAGACAGATTATAACCCTATTTTTATAATCTTCCATATGTATCTGCAGCTGGTTACTGATGGAGAATGATCACACCAAGTCTGGTTTGATCTTTGGTTTGAGACAGATTCAAAATCCTCACAATTTTTGCAACGTGTTCCTACGGTTGGGCCTCAGTGGTCAGAAATGTCACTCAATAAAGAGCTGGTCTGGAAAATCTTGGAAAAGGGAGTATTTTGCAGGCTCTGATCAGTCTGTTAATAAGAATATGTATTACAGAAACAATTCCTACTGTTAAGGACAATCAAGTTATCACTCCTGCTGCTGTCTCAAAATCAGGATGGACAGCATGAACTATTAGGCAGTTCTCAACACCAGAACAGAGTCTGGCAGCTTTTGACCTTATCAGTCCTCATTGAAAGTAAAATATTTTTACAATTGTGTCTTGAGATTAACAGAAAAAACGTATGTGATACAAATAACAAAAATAAGCTTTGATGATTGATTTCAGTTTGTGTTCCAAGAACAGACTGAAAGTGCTTGACCTTTAAGCAGATGTATGTACATGGTGCAGGTTGAGCATATTTCCATTGCTGCAAAATCTAATAAAAGTGTCAATAATTCATGATCTTGATCTCCCTTTATGATTCTTATAGGTAATGTCTACCCAGATGAGAAACACCACTTCATTATATCCTGTGATCTCTCCCTCTTATCTAGGTTTCCACTATGTGGTGTAAGTTCCCTGGCTTAGCACATAAGTTGCTTCTCTCCCTGGTCTTTGCACAGGACAGGGGCTCTGTGCCTGACCCTTTGCAGGCAGACATTATTCTCCTGGATTTGAAAAAGTTTCTTGTACATCTGGTAGCTGACATAACATGAACTTCTCCATCCTGCTTAAAAGAATGCAACTTCAATTTGCTTTTTGTGAAAACAAACAGATTAAGAGCTAAGACACATGCCCCATCCCAATCCTAACATGTAAATCAACTTTGGCTGTGACCTGTGCATCTCTGAGTGCACAATCCAGTTCAGAACAGTATTTACAGCACAGCTGGAAGCTAATCCTTGCCTAAGGAGCTCCCCTGGAGTATCCTGTACTGTACTAGCAACATCATTCTTGGATCAAAAACTCATAGATATGGCTTAGCCCGTAAATGACTGCCTTATGAAACGAGAGGGTTTGATCCTCTGATTCTCTCTACAACTGAAGTGCTGGTTTGACATATGAAAAACAAAAGCTTGTATTCACATGCTGAGGTTCCTTCAGTGCAGACATGGTCTCACCCCAGAGCCTGAGCCGAGCTCCAGTGCACTGAACAGGTCTGTCAGCTCCGTCTGTGTGTCCTTGCTGCACCAGGGAATAACTGTACACAGCAGCTTCTTAAGAGACACTTTAATTCTATTTCGGGTACAGACCCGCAAAAGCAGCCCACAGAAATAATAACGCTGTATCACAGTAGCTGAAAAAGTCCTTCCAAGTAAAAAGGAAAAATCCTGTACTTTAAACACAAAGTAACTATGACAACAGAGCATATGATACTTGTTTCTCCATCACTGGGAAATGTTGCATAGTTTTCAGTTTCAGCAGCCAAAAGACCATGGTCTGCCACTTGTTCAAACATGCTGGCATCTCTGGTACACATTATATCATTATAAAAACCCTATTTTGCCTGCTTACAGATACTGTAACAAAACCTTTCTATAGATTGGCTTTTTGGCTCCCTTTACTGCTTTTCATCTAGGAATTGATTGTTTTGGAGGAACTCATGAGTTAAAGACTTTTGGGCATCCTGCCACTTTTTTTTTTTTTTTTTTTTTGACAAAAGACACTAAACAGTGAGGGAAGGGAACTTGCTGGAAAATAATTGCTTTTAGAAGGAATAGCTGAATTACTTTTCTGGCTGAGAAATATGTAGGGGGAGAGGAAAACACAGTTAGGACTTTTGTATTCATTTGTACCAACTTTGTACAAGGAAAGCTTTTTCAGCTCTGAGCAACCTGGTCTGAGCTCCAGATGAGCCAAAATCTGCAACTGAAAAGTACCCCTCTTCTTCAATGGTAATAAAAAATATAAATACCCTGTGCAAACACACACACAGAGGCACAGTGTATACATCTCAGTCATAAAATTATGCCCTTAATAAGGTCTGTAAAATCTCTTTCATGCTTCACTTCTGAAAATCAGACTGAAAATCACCCTAACACTCTTTCAAAGGCTAAAAATAAGAAGTTAAAAGTCTGGTCAGGCATCAGGTTTGGATTTGAAGGTTCTGCTGTGATAACAACGACTGACAGAACACACAGTTACAGTAGGTGGAGCTATAATGTGAAACCTCTTAAAACATTATGCTTGATTTTGCCCTAATTTCTAAAACATACCAACTGGAAGAGATGGGATACTGGATTACATAGAGAGCTACCTTAATCTATACCCTGATTTTAGAATTGTGTGTAAAATAAAAAAAAATTACATAAAGAATTAGAGCATCTTCTGATATACCTGGAAGATCCTGCTGCTTTCACAGCCAACACACATGTGACCATTCCTCATTTGGAAATCAGAAGGTACTGGTCATGAAAGATGGTATAAGTAGGAAATTTGTCTTTTCTGGCCTCTGAAACCCATGTAAATTTTGAGAGAGAGAGTGTCTTCAAGTCAAATTACCTTTTTTAAAAAAGTGAATGTAATAACCTGCACAGCAGACTAATGGATTGGAATTAGTTGCAGGTACAATGAATTAGTCCTGAAATAAAGCTAGATTTTGCAATAATTATGATAAATTTCCCCCTATGTGTTATACATAAATACCATTTATCAAGTGTCTACTACAGAAAGATAAACATTCATTATTTATAAAAATAAGGTTCCAGACACAGTCCATTTTCACGTGTGGAGCCAGGTTATGTGTGCACCTGTACATCCCTGACTTTGATGAGTAATACTTCAACCTGAGTGAAAACATTTCATATTTCCTATGTTAATGAAATGTGATCTTTGCCTACACAACCACTGGTAGACTAATATGCTGTGAGAAGCAAACTGCACCGGTTGTGCCTAAATTAAAGTCAAACCAACATCACCCATTCCCTGGATATGAATGAATCTGGATCTACACAGCAGTGAAAACACTCAGGCTCTCCTGCCCAGAGCTGCCAGAGGTGCACTGTTTGTTTTCTAGCCATGAACCTGCTCAATGGAATCACGTCCGCCCGAGCTCGGAGGCTTAAAATTCCTCGCGCAGAGCCCGCGGTGCTGACACGGATCCGATGAGACAGGAGAGCAGGAACGGCACTCTGCAGTGACCCAGCTGAACTGCACATGTTCTGACCCTTTCTGAACTCCCCGGAGCTTTTGTTACCTGGCAAATGCAGCTCTAAAGCTGCTCCTGCATCTCCAGCTCTCTGCTCTCAGCCTGTTTCTCTCTGGGGCGGGCGGCGAGAGAGGGGCTCTCTGAAGGCTTCTAAGTGAGTGTGCACACTGAACTCTTACTGAACTGAATTAATTATTGAAGATGCAGATGGAGCTGTCCAAATGATAAGAACAGCTCCTGACGTATCATGATCCAAGCTTTCATTAAATCATTTCAGGCATACTAATGGTTTCCCACCGCTCATTACTTACATGCTCTTTTCTCATCGATATAATAACCCTGGTGCCCAAAGGCATGACAGGCTATGGAAACAGGGAAGTTGAAAGTTCTTCACAAGGCGTACTGAGGAACTTCATACTCCCCACTCATATTTCCCATCCTCATTTAGTGCAAAAATGTACACACACACACACAAGTACAAATTCTTATAAACTCAGAGAAAAAAACTGTAAACTGAAGTAGAAAGCAATACTGTCAAAAAAGAGTTGCTGTGCATTGACAGTACTATTAAACTGAGAAACGTAAAAGTGATTTGAGCAACATGTTAAAAAGCTTACCAAGGTGAAATTCTCCCATGCTACTGACCCTCGGTAAGCTACACTACAAATATAGCTCTTCAGTTACAGTGCACATGACATATTATTTTTCAGCCATTACACTTCTCACACTTCCTCCTCTGGTCTCTCTTGCTTTCTCAGTTGGGACGATTAGAGGGCAAAGCAATTGCCAGAGAAGAATTACTCCCAGGAACTGTGCTGTGATTGCTACCTGCTGTTTCATATTTTTGAAGTTGGGAATACTGCTCCCAAAGGCCTTTTGCGTCTCAGTCCAAATGATTTGCTGGAGGATAATAATGTCATGGCCAGTAAATAATAGTGAACTATGTCTGTACATGGTCAATATGATTAAATGTCCTTCACCTCTATTCTCACTCTGACCTGGTTATGAGGAAGTGAAAAAGCCGTCAGCAAAGCCCAAAGCTTCCCATGTGAAATGTTATTGTAGAGCAAGGGAGAAAAATAGAGGTGACTTAGCAAAATACTCCCAGTACCAATAACATAAGGAGCGAGACACGAAAAGCAAAATTATCACCACACCATCAGACTTGAGGTGACTGAACTGGCATGAAACAGAACAATTTTCTAGTAATAATTACAACACCTGCAAGAAACAACTTCAGGTTGAAAAATATCCTCTATCATACTGAAAATACTAAGTCTATCTTTCAATTGCAATTGTAGGTTTAATTAAAAGAAGAATCCCCATCATTCTGAGACATGATTTAATTTGAATGTATTTAGAATAAATTCTGTACAATTATTATGGTCTATACTTAAATCTTACAAACCCTGTAATTTTTCTAATTCAACTCATACACACATAAGTTTTGGCATCTACGCCCATGTATTTGAAAATATGCCAATGAACTCTTAACAACTTCTAATTTGCACAACTCTCTTTTCCTAAGTGACTGCTCAAGGATTGAAACAGTTTTTGATATAAACAGAGAGCGAATCCAACCTAAGTATACATAAGCTTATTTCAATATAATGAAGATACCAGGAAGGAATAAAGTACCTACAAAACACTGGCCAGGCATATTTTTTAACAGAAATTTCCACAATCAAAGTATTAGTTTCTTTTCACATGAGAAGTAACATAGACTAAAAAGTACAAAAAGTGCTGAAACAGAACAGTACGTCTGGCACATGATCTATAAAAGTCAAAAATTTCGTAACTATGCCTGATGATTCTGCTTCAGCTGAGAAACAAAATACAATTACAAAATAATGACAAAATACAATTTCTGAATTTGGAAATTCAAGGGAACTGAAATTCTGTCAACATTTCACAACTCTCCTACTGTGTAAGGGCAGGAAAACAAGCATCTATTTGAACTTTCAAGGGCATGAAAACAAATTAATTCATCCTTCCAAACTATCAGCAATGATGGGAAAAGCTCTCTGTGTATATAGGTTGTGTCCCCAGCACCAGCCTTCTGCAATGTTTCCCAAGTACAGGCAGGCTTTAAAGATACAGAACTAGCAGAGAAAAACAAGGAAGTGGAATATAAGATTTATTTAATTATCCAGTGTGTTAGAATACCCTTTTGAGGTAATTATGCTGGTTAATCAGCAGTTAAATTCTGGAATGTGTACAGAACTGACTCAATTGAAAGCAATAACAATGGTTCCTTTTTAAAAACGCTGTGTTTAGTACTTCATTCATTTTTCATATGACTACACATGTCAATACGACCTTCAGAATTCCAGCCATTAGGAAAAAAATGGCTGTGCTGAAGTGCCACCACAGCTTTGACAATTAATCATTTGGTCAGCACTCTTTAAAACTTTCTAAATATTTATATAACCATTGGTCACATTACAAATTGTTTATAAGCATTTTCATGAAATGTCTTGTGAATAAGGATAGTATTAACTTGGCTGTGAGGCAACCTAAAAGGAAAGGAAGAAACAAAGTTCTTACCAGAATAATAAAGGTAACAGGTCCAATGAAACTCCAGATAAAATAGTTATCTACATGGAGCCAGCAACTATGATGGAAAAAAAGAATGAAAAGTGAACAGCTGCATTAGCACCTCCATCCAGTAAATGCAAAGTGCAAAAATACTTCTTAACTGAACATTTTGCCAATAAAAAATGATAAACATTGCACAGTACCACTTAATCCATGGAGAATTCCTAACCTGAAACTCTTCTGATGAGCCCTGTACAACAACACTACTGAACCTGAAGCTACATCCTCAGGAACAGGTAATGTATAAGGAGAAAGAAAACCAAAAGGAGCTCTCTCCTTGCAGTCAGTTTTGGTGACAGGTGCTATCATGGACTAACGAACCAACATCAGTAAGGATTTTTTACAGGCTTCCCATGTAACCTTCAAAATCTGCTTTTAACTTTATATCACATGTGAAGTGCTCACTCCCGAGGAATATGAGACAGAAAACGTTCAGATGCCACGTTTTGCTGAGAAACAATATGGTATAAATAAAATGCCCCATCTGGGAGTTGAACAGTAGAGAAGGAATACATAAGATACCAGACTAAATGACGTGTAAACCTATTAGGGCCAACTTCACTTAGCAATTCATTTTTCATACAGCCCAGTTCCCTGCTGAATTGCTCTTATTTGTCTTTCATCAGTAGCAAAATCAAGCAGCTTTCTTGTAGTCAACAGTATCTTCCCATTCTGCAACTAATTTTATCAAAGGACAAAATAAACACTCCTGAAAGGCAAATTCATGCCTCCAGCAACTCAGATCCTCAGAAATGTTTTCTGTCTACCTTCTGTCACTTCCTATATATATCTGTGTTTTTGTAAATAAAAGGCAGTGGCTAAATTTTAATCCCACTCTACTCGCCTGATAAAATATTATCAAAATAAAACACATGGGTTGGAATATTGTACTGTCATCATTCAGGATGAGAGCTAGCTAGAGGGGCAGCTGAACAAAGACATCTAATGAAGCATTAGCTTAAAACTGGGTGGTTAGGCTTGTCAGATACTTTGAGAAATTTTACTTAATATACATTTGAGGACAAAAAGTTATTTACTTTTTCAATTTGTTTCAGGTCAATCTTTTGTGTTAAAAGAAAGACCATAATTTAGAATCGGTCTCTCCAGAGTACAAATCCCCTGAACCTCGAGAATTACAAAAGACTTGATTGTAATTTGTGCACAGCATCGCCATTCTCTTACCAATAAAGCTTTCAGATGGTATTTTAGTCTGTCAGGGTCCCTCTGACAGCTAATAGGCTTTAAAAACTTATTCACTTGAAAAACACTCAGGTCACTTGCAATTACTTACGCTTTCTCTGTTCCGTAGCTCTTGTAGTCAATAGCTGCTGAGACACCAACTACTGTAGCAGGGAAGAGGTAGCCAGCAACATAATAGTACTTCTTTCTAGAATATTCACTTTCAAATACTTCTACTAACATTAGATAAAGCTGCACTCCTTCTAGACACATCCAGGCAAAGGCTGCCAGGAAGAAAAAGTGTAAGAGACCTGCAAATATCGGACATGCAATCTGCAAAGAAAGAGAGAGATGGGAATATAAACCACAAAACCTCCACATCATTGCCCCTCCAATTAAAAAGTGTGCAATAGAACTGCATATGCTTCTATAAGAAATCTTTCACAAACTCAGGAGCAATTTCCCTACCTGAAAACATAGGTTGGACATTTGAAAATACTACTGTGTGTTCAGGAGCTACAGAGAGAAAATTGGCTGAACAGTGCGAATGGAAACAAGGAAATTGCACCCTCACCCACCAGTCATCAATTATACAGTGGACTTTCCAATTTTATAAGCAACTCTTTGATTTTGAAACTGATATGGTTTTAGGACTTGCAGTTGACATGAGCAGTCGGTTCTAGATGCATAATGTGATATTGCTTATTTAAAATTATGAAGTGGCTGCCCACAGATTTTTATCTGCTGTAATTTGGAAATTTCTACTGTTGTAACAGAAATCAATCTGAATTCTCTCCCCATTGGCCAAATTCTGGATGAAATTATACTGAATTATTAAACTTCAACCCAATGTATCGCTTCAGAAATATTTTCACCAATACTGCCAGAATACCTGCATGAGTGTGCAGTGTAAAACATCTGTAAATATACACAAAAGGCTCTGTGCTAATATATATACATAAAAAATAGTCAATAGCTGTTAAGACATATTAATAGAGAAAACATATGTGTTCCTAATACGTCAACATTTAATTTCATCTCCTTTTTCAAAAGTCTAACTACCTGCTTCATTAACAGTCAGAGTTTCTCAAGTGAAAAGGAAAAGCATATTTTGGATGGATGTAAATACTGTTTATGAGTACGTCTGTCTTATTTTCACACTGAGCTTTTATTTCAGCCTTGCTGTGTCAGAACACTGAAAACTTGTCAGTGTTGTCATGTTTTAATTCAAATCCATTTCAAACAGTCATTTCAGAGAACAAGATCAGTACACACAGAGAGAACTTACCTTGTACTCTGTCTTATCGATGCCTATTAGGAAAATGAACTCAGCAATGAATAGGTTGATACAAAGGTTCTTGTGAATAGTGTTACGATCGCTTTGCAGGCCACGGAAAAAACAGAATGTGAAGATGCAGATGGCCAGGCAAACAAGAGAGATGACAATTCCCACCCAGGTGATGACAGTGAGGAGCAATTCGTGCACTCCATCTTTGTACTAGAAATAACCAAGAATGGAGAAAATTAATATGACTCTTCATGAGTATAAACAAAAACCTATTTTCACAGGTAGCATCCAGAAAAGTCACTTGTTTATTACATGAGATGGGCAAAATGTACTCAGTAACATCTCAGTCTCAGGTCAGCTTCCCAGAAAAACAGGATTAGGCCAAGTAGAAAAGGAGCAGGTCTGAGAGAAAAATGTGACTATTTTATCCAAATCAGATAGCATTTTTACTTTTCCTATGTCTCCCTGTAAACTGGTCAGAAATACAGCAGACACCACATTTTTAAAGAGTCACTCGGCTCTGATGCAAAGAGAAGGGAGAGCTTTCCCTGGGATCTACTGTAAGAGTACATGTTCTTTCCTACAGACTGCAACTCCACAGCAGAGAAGAAAGCAATGTACAAAACCACACTGATCAGGATAAAAGGCAGAATATGCTACAGGTGTAATTCTGGCTTCAATCTCACATCCAGCTAAAGAAGGTTCCTTGCTTCAGCTACGACAGAATCACTTCTGTCCCCGTGGTTGTCTTTGCACCAGCCTTTTCCAATGCTGTGGCTGTATGAGAAGTCCCATATCCCCACAAACATTGCAGGCTCTGGGCCCCTGACATCCAGTAACTGCTTTATATAGACAACAACATTTCTGAGTATGAACAGGCACCTAAACAAGCAGCGTGGAAGCTCCTTGACCTTCCTCTCCAAGGAGAGCTGGCACTTGTGCTTCCAGGGAACAGCCTGCACAGCTGTCTCTACAGACACTTTCCATCTGGACTGGGGGAGGTCTTTAAAATGGTTGTAGGGGTTGGTCAGTAACTTTAAAATATGACTTGTAGAAAACTCTTCTCCTTCCTTTCATTCTCTTGCTGTTATTTTACTTGTAACTTCACAGATGAGGAAGAAAAGTGCTACAGAAAGCAAAGTGCTTTGGAAAGAGTGGATAGGAGCTATAAATACTAAAGAAACTTCAGCTATTTTGGATCTTGCTGACAATTTAAAGCTAAATCTTTTAAGTTTGTTCCCTGCCTGTGGCTGGAAACATCATTACCTACCACAATCTCCCGACGAGCCATAAGAATTGCAAAGTTGGTCAGGTGACTGCAAGCACACGTCGTGTGAGTTTTATTTGTGTCAACCAGTTTGCAGCCTTGTGTTGACCAGTACCCCATCATAGTCCTCTCTGAGTAGTTCCAGAAGGAGCAATTTGCATTGAAATAATTGTCAGGCTGGGAGATAAAAGGATAACACGAAATGAGGATTTTACACACTAAGATGGCAATAACAATCGTTTAATACGTGTAAAGGGTAATTTAGATTAAACTTTGCATGTTTCGGACAATAAAGTTTTTCATCAGCAAAATTGTGGACTGTGTTGCACAAGGAAGACATCCAGTTTAAAAGGGACTTTATAGTCCAAAGCACTCTAAAGTGTAGTCTCAATTACTGTAGACTCAATTTTAAACAATTACAATTTCCATCTTACGATTTTATGCATGGATGGTACATTATAGTCATTCTTGCTTTCTGGAAAATTAGGACTGTGAATTTATTCTGAAGATATTTCTCCTGCAATTGACAATTCGAAAACAGGGTCTTTTTCTTTTGATTGTCACCTTTGGTCAGGCCGAAGTCATGTGAACAGATATCAGGAAAAAGTTCACTCCTCAATGCCTATCTATTTTGATGAAAAACAATCAGAACAGATTTATAAAAGGAGGCAAATTGAGAGGAAAATCCAACCATATCTTCTCCATCACAGTAGTGATTATTTACTTTCCCCATGTGAGACACGAAAACAGAAAGGGCCAAAGTTATGAGCAAAGAAACACATCAAATAAAATGCCATGAAGAAAATAAACGTAAATTTAAAGTATAACAAACCAAGATATCGTACTTTATTCTTCACTGAATAAATGCAATTTCAAGAATTTGAATAGGCATCCATAACGTGGTCCAAAAGTAATGTTGAAAGTCAAAAGTGTCAATAAAAATTGTTACATCAGGCTATCAAGAATCTTAACAGTTATTTTCAACCCTGCTACTAAGGTAAGAGTTAATTTTCAGTGAGAAACAAATTAGTCATTTACATTTTCATGCTGATTACTGAATTAGTTTTCATTAAGAATACACTTAAGTTCTAATAATCACTGAACCAGGCTCATTTAATTTTATGTTCATAGACTTAACTCGACTTGCGTCTCCGACCCAGTCCAACATTTAAAATTCAAATGGAAAAAAAAAAGGGTTGTTTTTCCCGCATCGCTTTTCTCCCTTGCTGCTTTTCTGACCTCCCCATTAACTCATTAGCGTGACTCACGTCGATGTGCTCCAGTGTGAAGTGCACGGGGTCGGTGAGGTACACCCGGCTCGACTCCTTGTTGATGGAGGCGGCGATGACGTGCGAGTTGACGGCGATGGTGCTGTTCCGCCCGGCCAAGTCGCTGCCCAGCTTTATGGTGGCGTTCTCGGTGCTGAGGAAACGGCCCAGGCTTTTGTAGATGATGAAAACCAGCTTTGCTGATCCTACAAAAGACAAGGAATCCCATCATCGTGCCACGGAGTCCTACAGAGAGGCAGCAACCTGTGCTCCAGTGAGCCGCCGATCAAGCACCGGTAAACAGAGAGGCATTTTTAGGCCGTGGATTTGAAGAACAACGACCAGGCGCTCCCGGTCTTTGAGAAAACGCCACAGAGCGGTTTTGTTGTGCTTTGTTTGGATATTTTAACCAGGGGAGGTAAGCAGGCCGTGCAGAAGTTAATGGGGTTTCAGTGCTCCGTGCCCAGGACTCACCGTTCCTGCTGTTCTGCTTCACGGTGCTCGCCGAGAGCTGAATCGAGTTGCCTCCTTTACTGCCCTGAGGAAATTTCAAGTCCTGCACCTGGCCCTCAGTAATGAGCACTGCAACATCCAAAACTAAGCAGACCAGAGGAGGAAAAAAAAAAAAAAGTGTCAGAAAAGGACAATGCAGAGAAAGTCTCTTGGCCAGATTGCAATATGCCAGATGACAATCTTCCCCCCCACTCTTCATTTGGTTTTCTCACACTGCTGTCTGTAAGGCAGATTTGTACTGCATGTTTCAATCACACACAGCTAGCTTCTTTAACTAAATCTAGTGCACACTGCTAAAATGACAGCACTTTAATAGTGATAACACGATATCAAACCTCCTCCTAGTTTGTGCCCCCAAAACATCCACTTAAAAATACCACACACACATTGCAGAAAAATGCTAGTTTTGAAGATCCTAATGTCTATGCAGTATCTCCTGCTGACAAATTTAGAACTTTAAGTATTGATTTAGATATAAAGAGTTTTTTAAAGAGTCAGCAAAGAATACCTAAGAATAGTTAAGCTGTGCATCTAGCAAAATCAGTATTCATAGCTAAAAATAATTTCTAATTTTTTTCCTAAATGTAATTCCGTATAAAGGTTTATAGGAAACCATTTTATTAGTTCTGCTAAAAAACAAAATGAAAAATCAGATGCCACTCGACTGTACTTAGGTATTACTTTTATAACACACTGTATATTGTGAAACTTTTGTGGGATTGCCATCAAACACTGGATTCCTTTGGATGGATAAAATCATATAGGTGAGAGTGGACAACTGGTTGACAAAATGTGTGTTATATTAAACTGGTAACTACAGGTGTGAACTAGACTGACAAAAGGTGTGAAATTGGGAAAGGACTTCTCTTTCTCTAGGCCATACATGTGTATGTCCTGCATGGCACTGGTGATGTGTTACTGTGACTCGAAGACAGCTCTGATAAGGGACTGTAAAACCCTTCCCCATCCTTTCCCAGTATCCTCCTACTCAATTAAAGACTAGGCAGAATCATCTTCTACAGTTACAAATATTGCAGACACTGAAACGTGAAAAGTCTAATTTCTGCACTCTCCTCCGAGTCTCTGTCTCGGTACTCTGCATATTAGCAGACTTTCAGGTTCCTCGTACCTCACTGAGACAACATTAATCTCTGTAATAAGTCGAAGGAATTTTAATTTTATGCATAGCAATGATTTTTGCTTTAGCACATCCTGCGTAACAATATTTGCACATCTCTAATACCAAACCCCTTCATTTCTCTGTCACCACTCAAATTCTAAATTAGGCTCCAACTATCTTCAGCTCCTTTGCAGTCTCTGAAGCATAGCTATTCTGCATTATGGGAGATGTAGTTCACTGAACACATTTTTACCTGAAGGCAGTCATGTTTATTATAA